GCATGCACATACAGCAGCAAATATTACAAAAATTATAACTCCTATCACTATTCCAGCAATATCACCACCCGAAAGACCAGAATCTATAGAAACAAAGCAATGTTTCATATAACATTAAAAATATTCATCATCACCTGCCATGCTTACTTTTACAAGTGTTCATATGGCCACCTTCATCAGATATTTGTGTATTAATATATTCTATCATAAAAATTCCTTTAATGAATGTATGGATTAAGGACTTACCGCATGTTACATTAACTCCATATTTAGTGCATCTAAAAAAGCTATCAGGACAACTGCCTCCACTGCAATCAATGAGGCATTTACTTGATGACTCACTTTTACAATCTACATTATGCAGCCAGGCAGTGTCATTACTGTTAAAGAAATAAAATTATTCAATAAATTGCTAGCAATACCATACTATAAGATCTTATCATAGCTTCGATATCCATTATATCCTAGCTGAGTACAAACAACATCTGCTGCTTCACCCTTGAAGAATTGATCATCATTGCAAACAGCTTTCCAACTCTCTTTGCAATAAATCTCAACCATTCCCTGTCCAGAATAATATCCTCCTTGTAGGCGTACCATACCATTGTAAGGATTATCCGATAATCTAACTGTATCTGTGAAACATTACATTAAAAAGCATTCATTAAAAATTCATTTACTGCAGTGAACTTCAACATCATCAGAAGGTTCACAAGAAGAGACAGAAGTTCCATACTCACACTGTAGTATTACCAGCATATCTTTTTCGCATCTGACATTGGTAAGCACTGCTTCAGTTTTTAAAGGATTACTATTGAGAGAATATACTAGTTTAACGTATTTTAATAGAAAGCCTCATTGGCTGAGTAATTCATCTGGACCATGTACTTAAGCTTTAATTTTGAATTTCCCTTTGAAAATACAATTATCAGAAGGGTGTGTCACGCATAGCAACCCGCACAATAGCATCATTGATATAGGATTATGTTACATAGTTTCTATATGATAGCAACTAGCAGTGGAGCTAAAGGGCGAGTTTTGTTTACTTTTAGTTTCGTTTACTTTTTGGTTAATTTTTATGCTATAATGGAAATCAAATCAATCCTATAATACCCAGATTTTTAAAGCTATCAAACCCTTTCAGCAATCCTTTCAGTGCTTACTCATGACTAATGCTTCCAGAGCTCCCACCATTGAATCCCAACTGGTTACAAACAACATCACCAATGTGGTTGTAAGATGCATCTTTGATACAGATAGGTCCCCAACGTGAATTGTAGTACACTTCAACAACACCTCTAGTATTAGAAACATCAGTGTTACCATTATTGTTCAGTCTCACAGCACCATTGCCTTGCCCTGCAAGAGCCAAGTAAGGCATACATGAATTTTGCTAATAATATAGATACTTACCATTAACATTAGATAAAAGTGCAGCAAATATCAGACAAATGACATTAGTCTTGTCCATTATTGAGTGGTGTATTTCTATTTAGTATTTATGCTGTAGCGATTCACGTCCGATTTATTAAAATAAAATACGCAACGTATAGATCTAAGCGTACGTACGTACGGGTACTGCTAGCTGCATGTATATTTATAGCAGGTGCATCACGTGATTTGAAATCATAGCTAGCCAAGGTACTCATACTTGAACGACGTTGTCACTTGTCAGTAAATAAACTAAGAGCATAGAAACACCCCGAGGGCCGAGAGACACCCGGAGATAAACTAGGGATTTAGACACGGCAATCACAAGGCTTTCAGGAGGATTATAAAGCAGATTCTACGTGGCAAGGTTAAGTTACATGTGCACGAACTGCTGCCATTGCTATTTTAAAGTAAAAAAGTTAAATATCGAGTTAGATATCTAACTAATGGACCGCAATTCTTCTCCCCTACCTACCAGAGAGTACGTTCTCTCACTATTAAAGGATGTAGTTCTTAAGATACAGTCAACTGACAGACAACTAACTGATGTGGTCATTCCTCAAGATATCTATGACCTATGCAGACGCTTTGTGGAAGAAAAACTCTTTGAAGATCGTTATGAAAACCACAAAGTATTTGAGATACTTCAACAAGACTCTAAGGAACTTATCGCTAGTGAAGCAGAGGTCAATAAAATGAAGAATGGACTCAAATCACTCCTACGATATCCACTGAACCTCCTTGTAGCACCAAATCGACCTGAAGTCAAAATCATTAAAGTAAGTGTCAGTGACTCTGCTGAATGGTGTGGCATTCTGTTGTTTGCAATAATAGTGTAAGGCTCTTGTTTATAAATCATGCAATACATAATGTGCATCATTTTGAGGGTAGGACTTACCCATAATAGACACTAGGCCCTAGCCAGGGGTTGAGACTTGAGACACCAATCTAAAAGTGGGGGACTCATTTTCATTAATTCAATTATGTTTAAAATAATCCAAAAATATGGTACGTTCATCAGTTATGCTTATGTATAAGTACATGTAATAGTAAGCAATGAATTGAAGCAGCTGCTCTAATAAGCTAGCTAAATTAATAGCATCTTCTAATAACATGAGTAATTAAAAGTGAGGGCAGTGCCCCTCCTGCTGCCTTGCATCAAAATTTAGAGAGGCTCTGCTCTTCTGCATGCAGGCTGCAGCAAAAGTGGGGGGGGGGGCTCTGCCCTTCCTTCATCAAAACTGGGGGGGGGGGGTGGCCCCCAGATTCTCAACCACTGCTAGCAAGAAATCATGTACCGGTACTCTTATAGTCTTAGGGTTAAGGTGTTCTTTTATGTGATAATAGAACTAAATTAATTTTGAAGGAAATAGTTTATGACTATGTAGCTATAATTAATACACTTATAAGTTCTCTATTAGCAATTGTGCTATTTTTCTTGTTGAAAACTAATGCTGCGTTTACACTACAGCAGTGGGCCAAACCGTGCTGAACCAGGCTGAGCTGGCCCTGCTGTACTAACCATGCAGGCCCGGTTTGGCCCAGCTCATTTTGGCTACTGTTTACACTATCAAATGAAACTGTGCTGGCCCACTTTAAACAGGGCTGGCTGGGTTAAAGAAGCTAGTGTAAACACAGTATAAGTTATAGCAACTGTATTTGCACATGCATGCACAGTGTTAGTATACTGGAAATTTTTGAGTAGCCAAATTTTTGTGAATTTTGTGTTCTTTGCGGCTCCATTGCTAAAATTAAAATTGGGAGATTTTCCATTTTCATTGCCCTGTGGTACAGTTTGCAAGCTATTTGCAAAAATTTTATTTCGTGAAATAAAATTTATGTCTTATGTCTGTTATACAGAAGTGTCCTTTATGTGGATACAGTAAGGAATGTAATTGGTCTTAAATGGAGATGTACGCTATAGAGAGTGTCCATTAAGAGAGACTATACTATGTAGTTTTCTTACCTTAATAAAAAAATTTTAGTTCATTTACATGTAGTGCAGTATCTTGAATCAATATCAAGATTGAGTTGATTGGCCAATCATGGAGTAACATTGTCATTAAGGACAATGTTAATGACATTTTTGAATACTTTGCTCAATTGTCTAAATTCTTTGTTGCTCTACCGTTTTGTCCAAACAACTTAAATAATGATATAAATTAATTTTAACTAATAAAGGCAATGTAACATAATAAAATGTCTGACAACAGTATTTCCCACAAAGCATGCTAAGTGAGCTAAACAGCATGAGCTTCATGAGCTGAAAATTTGGAGCAACTTCAAAAATTTATAAAAAATCCAATTTTGATTGGAATTAGCTCAAATTTTTTACACAACATAAGAACATATATATGTATCAGGGAAAGTATTAAAATAAAGAATTCTCTTCTTTTCATTTTGGTGAAGTTTAGCCCAAGGCCATGTACTACTCTTTGTCCCGATTTCTGAAGAAATTCAATTTTGATCGAATTTAGCTCTAATTTTTCTATACAAAAATGATAAAATATATTGCAACTTGACAATTCACTGCATGAGCAGTACGCTAAAACTAACTCTGTGGGAAACTCTGTCTAGCAGTTTCATAGAAATGGCAGATCAAATTAAACAATGTTCAGACAAATGTCTAAACATTGTTCGAATGTAATTTCAGTAATGGGCATAAATTGTGTGATTCATGTGTGTAGAAGTACATGTACAACCCACTCTCTCCCCCCTCCCTTTTATAGGCTAGTACATCTTTCTTTATGTTTCATGTCAAGAGAAATCTAAAAGATGCTCGGGCCTTCCTTGGTTTAATGGGATACGATCAAGCAAGAAATGCCACCGACCTCTCACTTAACAAATCATTCTCCATCGATCGTGTGTACACTCTTGTACTGGATATTGTCATCCTTCACGAGGAACTTGAGATCATTTCGCACCTAATCTCTCAATCAATGCCAAGTGACGTCAAGTTTTATCATTATTTCATAGCCAGGCGCTATGGTCCGTCAAACAAATGGGATTGTCTGGACTACATCATGAAAGGAAAAGCAGCAGCAAAAGCTTCTTATCTTGAACAGTCTCCTCGTCCTTCTAGTGGCTATTCACTTACAGCA